GGGGGGGGGGGGCCACTGTCCTGCTGTAGCCACCCCAACTCACCGGTGAGAGCCACCAGATGCGGCAGGCAGAGGCGGTTGGCGAGGATGATGAGCTTCATGTCATCGAGGTCGGGGCTGGAGCTGAACTGCCCAGTGTAGAGGTACTCCAGCACCGCCCGCATGCAGCTCTTGCTGGTGTAAGGAAGTGCCACCTGCGAGACACGTGCCGGCTGTGACCCCACGGCTGTCCCCAGCTGTCCCATCCTCCCAGGACGAATCCCAGAGCTGCTCCTCACCTCGTTGGTGGAGCTCTCCACGAAGGGGCCACCGAACATCGCGGCCATCCAGTCGCAGCTGGAGATGAGCAGGGGCTTGTGGGCACTGATAGCACCGTCATCCAGCACGAAGGTGACATCTGGGGACAAGCAGAGGGATGCTACTGGGACCGTCCCCATCACCTGGGAATGAGCCACCCCCTCCCACAGAATGTCTTGCACCGGGGACAGTGGAGGGAGGCAGATAGAGCCTGGCATATCCCATAATTTCTCCTATTGAGTCCTTCGGAGAGCTGGGAAGGACAACAGGGATCTGGGAAGGACAACAGGGATCTGGGAAGGACAACAGGGATCTGGGAAGGACAACAGGGATCTGGGAAGGACAACAGGGATCTGGGAAGGACAACAGGGATCTGGGAAGGACAACAGGGATCTGGGAAGGACAACAGGGATCTGGGAAGGACAACAGGGATCTGGGAAGGACAACAGGGATCTGGGAAGGACAACAGGGATCTCCCGCCCCCCTACTCTGCTCTCCACCCCAGACCACAGCTTCTCCAGCAAACATCTGTCCCCTGACAGTGACAGCTTGACCACATCTAGGTCCGTCCTCATGAAACAAATCCAGCTGGAGGGAGGCTGGGACATTCCCTTTCCCCCGGGACGTCACCCCACAAGCCGGTGGCACGTGGTGCTCGGTGGAAAGCTGGGGAAGCCCTACCAAGGGCACATCGCTCCTCGTAAATCAGATGACCCTGTGAAAATCTGGGCCCCGGGGGGGGAAAGAAGTCGCCTTTGCTGCTCTCCCGTAAATAAACGGAG